ATTTTGATATTGCAATTAAAACAATGTATAATTGATATTGCATAATAGGAAGAAAAGGTCTAAAGGAGTAGGGGAAGTGGGAGGGGAAGGGGAAAGGAAATAAGGGAAAAGAAAAAATGTGAGAAAAGGAAAATAATGGAAGCAAAGTCTTTGCAAAGAGGGAAGGGTGGAGGGGGTGAAGGGAGGGCAGGGGAAGGGGAAAAAATAAGAACCAAGATACATCCTGTGAAGGTACAAGACCCCAATGATGAATGTATCCGTATTTTATACCCAAAATGTACCAATAAATTTAATGGAAAAAAATGGTGATTAAGTTTCCTTCTAAGATCCTGAGCAGATTCATCCCAAGCAGATAGATTCAAACTACACAGGGAAGGAATCAGAATTTGCCCACGTGAGTTTGATTCTCATTAGTTATAAAATGGAATTGTACCACACATGAAAAAAAAATGCAGAGGTTAAATCCCATTTATAAAACTTGTGAAGTGACATAGAGTGGCAGAAAGAGAAAGCCAAAGAGGCACAGAAACATTTGGGAATCTCTGATTCCAAACATAATAATCTCACCATGAGGAAAACTGTATTTTGATTGTGAAGGGGACTCTTGGGAGGCCCAAGCAGTGTCCACCCAAGGCCCTGCCAGAGCAACTCCCTGCCACAGCAGATTTCAGATTTGTTTTGAAATGATACATATCTTCTATCACAGCCCACCACATGCATGCATGCACACCCACACCCACACACCCACACCCACACACCCACACCCACACACACACCCCTATCTTTGTGTGTATATCCATGTCTCATTTTGAAAAACACAACATACACAAAGTTGTTAAAGTACAGTAGAAACTATCCAAGCTGCTTTATAATAGCTTCTTTGGTGGCTAAACTATCAAATGCTTTCCCAGAATGAATGAATGTGTACTTTCAGTGGGAGAGAAGTTTTTCTAAATGCCAGCAGCACAGTGTCTCTGAGTACCCAACTGCGTGACACTCAAATGGCACTGTCACAGGAGCATTTTCTTAGTCACTGGATCTTTAGATCCCTTGGAGGTGAAGTTTATGCAGAATTAATGCAATCCCAGAGACTGACTCAGTCTCCATTTGTTCCTTTGCAAATCAGTAGTCATTAAGTTATAACAAGCTAGGGAAGGCCTATTGCCAGCTGCTGTTCCCAGAAAGTGTACCTGGACTGAAGGGCTGGATCAGCCTCGACCAGACTGGCACAGTTCAACTAACTGTGGCAACACCAACCCACTCAGGAGCAGCCAGAATATATGATTAGGCATGTAGAAACAGTGCTTTTGTGACTCAGATTGCTCCAGGGTTCCTGATGGTGACAAGTTGGGATTTGCTAAAGAATGATTAGATTTTTTTTAGAGTATGAAATATGTCCTTGTGTATAATTTTTTATTTCTTTGTTGTTTTGTAGTTCAGGGAATCAAACCCAGGGCCTCCACATACAAGGCAAGTGCTCTCCCACTGAGGTATCCGCCCAGCCCTCTGTGTCTGTACCCTGCACCAGTCTACATGAATCACTAGCTATCTAGAAATCATGACACATATTAATATTTTTATATTCATGCTAAACTCGGAAATATCTATTTGGAGGTGCTTTTTCTCTTCAAATTCCTAAAGGAACGTATTTCCTTCCTTCTAGCATAGCATGGTATGAGTTTATTGAGTATATTGTTCTAATACTTAAATGTCAAATAGGGATGTATCTTCTACATGTCTATAATTTAAGAATTTACATTCTGCTTTTCTAATATATTGTAAAGTACTGGACATACATTCTAAATAGAGGACAGCTGATTTCTTCTGTGGTATTTTAATCAAGTCAACAACGGGAGCCTTACTTTACTAGAGGGCAAAATTGGTATTTATCAATTTTACATAGCATCAATATTTGATTATTTTCTAAATGACAGAATTTTACTTGTGATTTAAATTTATTTTTAAGTGGCTTTTTTTCTCTCACTCAGCAGAAGATTCTAATACAATGTAGCAGTCACACATTCACACTACGGAGACAATATGAAAATCCCCATACATTTCTTGGGAGTTTGCTGTGATACACGTGTTGGCTCCTACCCACAGAATATGTGAGTTTGCTAATTTGGGAACTAGATAGCAGGAACATTCCAGATTTGTGCATTTTAGCTTTACTGATGTACGATTATTATCAGTTACATTATCATTATGTAGTATCATGTATTGCAGATTCAATTTTGTTTTTGTTTTTTTTAGTATGTTTCAGATTAATGAAACAGGGGAATCGTGAGGAAAAAAGTTTTATTCTCTCCTTATCATTTCTAGAGTCTGTTTGATATGAAGTGGTATCAAAAGAGGGCAAACTTGCTTGTTTGTCTTCAATTCAATGCGGACCCAAATACTGCAATGTCCAAGTACCAGAGCTGCTCTGGTGTCTTTCAAGGTGTGCCTGTGGCTAGGTTTCTAGGGTACAATATTTCGAGTGAGACCTGTTTGGAGCCAAAACAATCTCTAGTTCTCAGCAGACTCAATGAAGAACCATTTATTAAGCTCCTAAATCTGCTTGACTCTTTGGATCCTATGTGGAGAAACATAAACGAGTAAGGCTTAGACCCTGATTTCAAGACATACTCACTGTTAGTAAAGTAAGCTGATATCTTCCTGAACCTGTAACTCACGACTTTCTGCTGTTTGTTTATAAAAAGTCTAGGAGAATCAGCAGATGCATATTTTTTCTTATTCTATTTCATGTTTTATAATATACAGTGATTTCAATCAAACTCCTTTTTGCTGCCTTTAACACTTTTCACTGTTAAATAAAATCTTTCATTAAAAAATATTACTATGGTGCTTTGTATTTTATAGTTTGGAGACAAATCTAGTCACAGACCACACAGCTCAAAATGCAGTTTTGAATTATTATTACTGTTACCAAAGATTTCAGGTCCTTTTGCTTCTGCTTAGAAGCCGTTCACCACCCCTTCCTCATCTTCCCCCTCCTCACGTTCACATCACAGTCGCCCTGAGCTTCTGTTCTTCCAGATTTCTTCACTGAAATTTGCTACTCATTGTCCTGAATAACCCTAGGAAACTTTCAGCTACTAGGACATCTATAAAACTAAACCAACAGACCATTCATTTACAAAGTACTTGGCAACACTGGAATAAAACACACATTCAATATGCTGGGAATGATGATAGTGTTTTTATCTCTGTCACCTTCATTGCCAAGGTGATACAAAAGGTCCCACACGTTATGAGGCCCATGATTCTAGAACAATTTCAAATAATGAATTTTCCAGATCAGCATAGAAACAACTAAAATTGGAAAATAAGATGAATTCTATGTTGTTTACACATAGGGAGAGTATAGCTGGAGGTGGATGTCAGACAAGGACCTTTGCATTTAGTTCCTTGCACCTTCCTTCTTTGCTAGATGTGTGAGCCACACAAGTGTGCACCCCACCATCCCACCTGCACACCTACCTGCTGCTGAGGCAGCGGCGCAGCGAGTAGGAGGCGCCGCCCCCGCAGGTGCGCGAGCACTCGCTCCATGGCCCCCACACATCCCACGGCCCCTCGCGGTCCTCCTCCGAGCGCGCCATCCTCGGGCTCTGCAAGACAGGAGAGGGAGTCAGGCCCTGAGTCCCTCAGCTTCTCTCCAGCGTGCTGATGCTGGGGACCAGGTGGTCTGATTTGGGAACCCTGCGCTATGGCTGAGGAGAGGGCAATACTGGAACACATGGAAGAGTCAGAGGTAGGGACCTGAGGTAAGGAAGCTCCATTGCCTTGGAAGTCTCCAACTTTGCCCTGGGCTCATGAATCTGCTCTCTGTGCCTTTGTAAGATGAAGCTGCTCTCACAGGTATGTCGCTCTGAGGAACTTGATGTGTGCATGAAGCACTGCGTTCCAAAATCTACCATCCTTCACATGAGTAACACTGTTTATGGAGCACTTTCAGTCCTGGTTTTCAGATATATTCGTGGGAGTTACTGTAGGAAATGATTTTAGCAATGGGTGGATCACTTCTTGACAGATTTGCTTATTATTTAGAGGCTTCCTAAAGATATTTTGCATACCGTGAAAGGATAATTGTTGAATAAGGTCTCAATGTTGCATGTCACATTCCTTATGGAGAGGGAAAACAGGTAACACTTATGCTGCAATTCATAAAATGATCTCTGGTGCTGTCCACTGAGACCATAATGTTGAGTGAAATAAATCAGACAACACGAGCTTAAATACAAATAGCAAAATAAAAGAACAGGAAATAGGGCGATAGATCTTTCTCATATGGGAAGGGGATGCAGAGATGGAGGGAGTGGGAGGCAGGCGAGCAGAAGAGAATGAAAAAGAATTAAGATATTAGGTCCATGCACAAACCCCCACAAGGATCTAATCATGTACTGCACACGTGGACTAATAAAGTTTTTAAAAAAACCTATCTGAGTTAGGTATGGACTCAACAGTTTTTTGGGTTTTTTTTAGTATGTGTCCTTGAGTTGCATAATTTCCCACTGCATGCTGCAATTACCCCTTCTAAAAGTGGGGTGATATTATGACCATGACACTCCACACCTGCTCCCTGTGAGGAGAATCATCACAATGAATTTAGCCTGAGCATTGTCGGTCATCAGACAGCACTAAGTTTTTACTGTGCAGTAATGAGATCCCTTATAAATCAGTTGGTGTGGTGACCAGTTTTTCAGTTGACTACTCTTTGGAACTTTTCTATTCCTTTGGCAGTACTGGGGATTGAACTCGGGGCCTTCACACTGAGCTACGTTCTTGGCCTCTTTTATTTTTTATTTTTAGTCAGAGTCTGACTAAATTGCTAAGTTGCCCAGGCTGGGACTTGGATGTGCAATCCCCTTGCCTCAGCCTCCCAGATTATTAGAATTACAGGTGTCCACTACTGTGCCTGGCTCGTGGAACCTTTAAACCTATCCCATAGAGTCAGAAACCTGGCCTCAGAGTCATATGTAAATTATGTTCTAACTAGTACATGCTTTATTTAGACTCTTAAATCATTTGAAAGGGAAGTGGGAGATCTCAGTGGTTACCAGCAGGACCTTTGGATCTATTCAGATTTAGAGGGTTGTGATACTGGCTCCAGAGTTTCCTAGCTATATAAATGCTGTCTTCTCATCATAAAATAGGGATCATAAATATGCCTACATCACCAAATCATTATGAGAATTTTAAGTGTCAATATATAACGGGTAGAAACAACCTAGATGCCCATGGATAGATGAATATATATAAATGCAATGCATGTCTATGGCAGGATATTACTACTCAATCTTGACAAGGAGACCACAGCCCATACTACAACATGGATGAAGCCTGAAACGTTCTGTTGAGTGGGCCAGGCATAAGAGGCTGCACACTGCATGCTCATCAACCTGAGGCACTGGAAAGTTCTACTGATGGACAGAAGGCAGAGTGGCTGTTACCAGGGCCAAGCAATGGACAGGAGCTAGTGTTTAAAGTACACAGAGCTTTGGTCTGGGAAGAGGAAACCATGCTGGAGCTGGGTGGTGGCGATGGCTGCACAACAGTGAGTGTTCTGATCCCACCCAAATGCCACTGAAGGCCGGTACATGGAGCAGTGCCCCATGACCAGATCGTCATGCCCTGCAAAAGTGTGCTGATAAGAAGTCAATATTAAGGTGCTAGATCCATGTTACGCGTACTTTGCTACAACAGACATACATACATACATTTAAAAAGGCATGAAGGGCTAAGTAACAAACACCATTAAGCACTTGTTACTGCTATCATTAAACACTATTTATTTCCTATTAGCATCACATACGGCCTCTGAAATTACAGGGAATACACTGGTGAGGCACAAGGTCTTTTCTGTTGAGCTTGCTGCACTCTCCAAGCGACAAATCCGACTCCCACAGTAGGACTTCCAGTCGCCAGCTGTAGCGCAGTTGCCTGGTGTCGTGCTCTGCCAGGGGTTTCATCTCCTATAAACTGTGGCCTAGCACTGGTAACGGAAACACACTGGTAACTAAAATCTGTCCTGTGTAAAGCAAGTATTCATTGTGCTCCAAACTGGGTTTTTAGGATTAATAAAATCAATCTCTAACTGCTGCAATATAGAATACTCTGATTTGAGAGGTAAATAGGCAGAGAGAGAAGGACCCTGTACTATTGATGTACACATACACAGGTCTTTTCTCTATGTGCCCATTAAATTCATTCCCATACTTGCAGAAGTTGCTTCTCCCAACACCTTTGGTGCTTGCTCCATGTGACTGGAGGATAAGAATATTGAGAAGGTCAGTGAAGTATTGTCCTGATGCACTTACCATTTGTGAGACACACATGCATTTGTATGATGCATTTCTCCCAATTTTATCCAAATTCAATATGACTCAGGTGAAAACTGTATCATAGAGCCAAGGTTCATGCAGTAGTTGAAATGTGTGAGATGGAGATTACTGACTCTGATTCTGTCCAATTATTAAAACTGAAAACAAGGACCCTGCCTGCAGCATTCACCTGAGAACTGCATTTCCTGTGAGATAATAACACCAGAATGCCATATCTTTGTGGTAACTTTCCCGAGGCTGCTCTCTATGTAAGACTTATAGGGAACAACATATGGTCATGATTTTTTTTCTACAGAAACAAATTGTTTTAACTTTGTTCTCAAGTTGCTTGATATTTTTCATGTGCCTTGTCTGAAGAGGCATTGAACGTCCCTAAGGTGACATTTCATTGACTGAGCATGTTACCTCATCCCAAATTACAAGTTTCAGTACAGTCAGACATAGAAAGAACCCACATTTCTCTGAAAGAGATCTCACACTAACTCAGAAAAAAGGCATGGGCTTATTTCTCACAGTGGAACCAATTCCAAGTTTTCTGTTAGCAAGTGGAATAAACATAATTTATTTCAACTGAATCCATGCTTAATGTTAGAGAAAGTGAATTTCTTCCTCTTTAACTATGCCAGAATTTTACGTCTACAAACAGAAATGACATTTTAGCAATGCCTTTCACATTATTTAAAATCTAGAAGTATTTGTTTATTGCAGTCTTTAAGGCAGTCTTCAACATAAACAACTTTCGTGTCTGGCCCTGTTCGAACTCATTTTTATTTCACTCTTACTTTTGAATGTGTGGCCCTTTTGATGTTATAGCAACATTTTTTAAAAATAAAAACTTGGAATTGTATCCATTATGGGAAATGGAGACTTGAAGAAAAATAAGGACTAGGTAACCAGCTGCCTAAAAGCAATATTGATTACTTCAAAACCAAAAACCTAAGCCTTTCTATACAGCTAATCCAGTATTTTTCAATTTTATTTCTATCACATAAATGTAATATTTTAATTTCAATTTTAATGTTTCCAAAAGAAAGTCATGGTTGGTATTAAACATAGTGATCAAGAAATTATGCCTGATCCCGCAGAAAAAAATTTCAGCAGCGATGTCAGTTGAGGTTATAGTTTTTAACTATTGTTATCCATGACTCAGAACTAAAGAACAGTCATTACATTCTTTATGTATGCCAATATTTCACTGGTAGGACGTTATCACAAAAAGTCAAAATGCATCTGATATTGAACTTGAGGGAAAAAGTCATTATAAAGCACTTTCTTCTTTCACTTTAGAGTTACTGGATGGGTAAGAGTGAACAATTGGCACCCATTTTGAGCTAGCATTTGAGAAATGCACCAAACATTGAGAAAAGTACAACATACTTGGTTGTATGTCCCTGTGAAAACTGAGGATGTGCTTTGAGTTACTCAGTTTACCAAAACAGTCTAGCCATTTCTGGATCTTTGGTGCCACGTACTGACCTGAAATATAGCCTTTGGTGAAGACCCTGCTCTCAGCTGTGTCCTTGTTGGAGAGCTTAGCAATCAGTTCCCCAACATTATTGACTTTGCTCTAGGCATCAAGAGGCTGTAAGGACATATGATTATCTCCATAGATGCAGAAATCTGATAAAAAGCCATCTATGAAAAACCAACAGCCAGTATCATACTAAATGGTTAAAAACTGAAATCCTTCACACTAAAATCAGGAACAAGACAAGGATATCCACTATCACCACTCCTGTTCA